AAAAAATAAAAAGGACTGAAAATAAAGCACAAATTGGTCCAACAATCTTTCAATAGACTCCCATTAAGTATAAAATTGTAATACTGCAAAAAGGCAATTCTTCGCACAGGTAAAGTTTCAAATTCATTTCTATTCACTCCCTTTTTCTTTCTTTTTTCCAATGAAAATTCCTAGCACATGAATGAGCATTTTTTTTCCCTAAAGATGTATGTTTTTTTTAAAAAAAAAAAAGGATTTATAGACCTACAAAAGTGGAATGTAAAGTAGAATATTAATAGGATTTGTGGGTATGACAGATTGGGATTTCTATCGTTCATTTTCAAAGCCCTTGGAGTCATTTGGTACTTGACTAATTATTCTGTTAACACCATTTTGGGTATTGAACAATTTTTAATAGTCTTTTAGTGGCTCAAATTACATATTTGCACTGGTATGCTATTTTCACTTTGACAGGGAGATTCAGCTCTCCATATGTTGTATCTGCTTGGTGGGGAGAGCCGTAGAAAGGCAGAGGGTATCGGCATAGAAAGTCCTCTACTATCTTTGTTAGAGGGGCATAAGGAAAATGGGTTTCAGGCTCTGAGGCTGAAACTACGTTTTTGTACAATCAGATGAACTTAAAAGTTGATCTGTTAATCTGCAAAGTTTAAGCAGATACTGTACAGAGTGTTTTAACATACTTGCTAACAAAAATCGCTACAGTTCACCCTTCTGAAGGTCATTTTCTTTTGACATCTGTCAAATTACACCACCTCGCATTTTGGTACAAAGCATAATGCTGTCAAACTTAAATAGAAATACAGCAGAATGTGGAGTGCTGGGTTGTTTTTTAAGGTAAATGCACCCCATTTACATTAGTTCTTTGATGTTAAATTCTTTGCTGCACATCAGAGAACAGTTGCTTCTTCCCCGGAGCAAGTTTTCTTTCTTCTCCTTCCCCCACCCTTTGATATTTTCCTCTCTCTTTTTTTCTTTTTTAGTTTGCTTACACTTTTATCTAACTAATTACGGAGGATCAGCTTATGTATGGCCATCACTTAGTTGCAGGCATTTTGAAAAATGATTATTTCATGTTAGTACCCTAAACAGATTTCTTAAATTTGCTTCTCCGTGAGGGCGCAGGGGGTATTTGGGTCTCTGTAGTGACCAAGGGTTCTGCTCGTGAGTCATCTGCACTGGGGAGATTGCAATCAAGCCGAAATGCCCCTGAAATCAGCCACTGATTCATCTAGAGAGGAGCAGGGAATTCACCATGCATCCTTAAATATCACAGAGCTAGCTATATTTGGGTTGAAGGTTAGTTTTGATATTATCAAAAATTATTTAATGAATATTCCTTTTAAAATGAAAAATATATTGATGCATTAAGTGTAAAAAAAAAAAAAAAAAAAAACACCACTTTTCTTTTTGGTAAGTTAAAAGCCATCCCAATATCTCTTTTTTTAACTTGCTACTTGCAACCTTCCCAGAAATCCTTTAAATAATTTTTTTGTTAGGTCAGGTTTTGGCATTTGTTGACAAAAATTAGGCAGATTGTTGACTGTAAATAAAGCATTTCTCTTCCATTGACTGGAGCTCAGTGCAACTAAAACTTGTTCTCATAGCCTATATCATATACCTTAAAGACAGCCCATGAAACTTTGTAATTATGGCAAAACATGGTATATTCTATGGAATATGGATCCATTGTGATCAATCCTTTTTGCTCTTTTATTCTTTGTAATGCTCTTCTACTTCATTAAAAGAAAAAGAAAATCAAATTGTGCTAGAACAGCCCCCATTAGCTCAGATACCACATCTTTAGTGCTAATACCGTTTTTAATTTTCACACAAAATGTTTTGTTGAAGCCGGTGTAGTTTTGCTCAGCAACCACAATGTGATGCTTTAAGGCGTGTTATAGAATCGCAGCTGCTTTTTAAAACCAATTAACTGTAACAGGGCCATTATCTCCTTTTTCATGCAGAAGTTGTCACTCTAATAAAATAACTGCGTGTAAAATTGTCATAATCAAATAATTTTAGCTAAAATAKGTATTAACTATGTGAAACTAAACAGGAGTTTAATTTTTGATTCAGTGGGATTGCTCTATGGCTTATCCAATTTAAACCTTTTATATTATAAAAGTGGATATTACAACTGACACATCGGATGAGTTTTTGCCAGGTGTGAATTTCCTCGGGTACCTCCAGCCCACGAGCACCTAGTTGAAGGCCATTAACTTCACTTGCAGAGCTGCCTTTTGCTATAAAAAGAGGTAGACTTTAATGAACACTGCCTGACCCTCCAAGCATGCTCCTTCCGATTGGATTCTCGTTCTGTATTGTTTCGGAAATAGCAAGGAACCTGAAAATGAGAGAAGACCCTCAAAGCAGCACAGAAGCAGCTTGTGCTTGGTGCAAAGCATGGTGTGAGAAAGGAAAAGTTTCACCTGGCTGGGAGGGAAGCAGGGAAAGCGACGTTCAGGTACACCAGTCTGCTTTAAACCTTCCCCTTTGTGAAGGTGGGAGTAACATAAATGCTCAGCTATGTTCAGTGGCTTCAGCTATGCGTGTTTACTTTGCAATAAGCCTTTCCTTACAAAAAGATCTAAGGAAAAAGGCCTTTCTTGTGGCGCGCTGCTCCATGTGCCCAGGGGAGTAGATTGACGGCTCCTCAGGCTGCAAAGCAACAGCCTGTAGTTTTTATTAGCTGAGTTGCAGATYTTGAGGAGAGAGCAGTTGTGTATTTCTGTGGGAAGAGAAGATAATGGAAAAGAGGTCCTGTGTCTTTGCCCGGATGAGAGATTTTTGCCTGACCACCATGATATACCTTGCAGAAGTTGCCTTCTGCTGAGGGTCACATCTGTGCACCTTGTGCTGATGCACAACCTGCCAACGTGTTGTGGGTCTCACGAGACAAGKTTAGCTCTTCAGATATTCATAGGTTTTAGTGTCACAGCTTTAGGCACCTACTTTTTGGCAGCTCTAAATGTGTTTTGGCAGCTGTAAATGTGCTATCTCCATGGGCAGTTTTAGAACATAAGTGCTCTTAAAAAGTAGGCCTGTCCAGTAAGGGAGCTTGGAGTTTCTGAATGACTTGGAAACAACTTACGAGTACTTTGCTCATTGTAATTTGTTAAAGGCATTATAAAATAAAATGCTGTCATTGCCTTGAAACAGACCCATAGAATATACTTTGTCTCCAGTCAGGAATAAAACATTGAAATTCAGAATATCTTTAAGATCACCCCTATTGTCTCTAGCAGAGGTTGCCCTGATTCTCCTCGGTGTGAATTAACAAGTTCTAATTTGCTTATGAAAGTTATGGGTGTGTTTTTATTATTTATTGGGATTTCTTCAATGGGTTCAAGAGGTTATAAAGCTGCTTCTATGAAAGATGAAGACTTTTACCCCAGGCAAGTTGAGTGAAAGCAGCTGTAATGTGATCTCTGCAGTGCCTTGCTAACTAGCATCTCCCTTTCTGGGAGTAACAGTAATTTAAAYTATTACTGTAATTTATTTTTCACTTTTTCCAAAGATAAACAGTTAGTTTTGGTCACTTATGATAAGCCGGTGTTAGGAAAAGTAATCTGAAAGCAGATGACGACACAGTGGGAAAAGTGTTAATATGGGGCCACCAGAGTATAACAAGCTGTATAACATGCACAGAGCTGCCTGGCATAAATACTTCTGCTTTACTGCTCCTTTTTTATTTATGCAATCAGTCCRTGTGCCCCTGTAGGGTCTGTGGCTTGCTTTCTAAGATAGAGGTAGGAAAAGGGGAAATTAATTCCTTTAGTGCTCCAAAATGGTTGTATATGTTGTTCTAAATCAATGCCTACTGCCATTATCTCTATAATAATAATATTTTAAAAATCACATGTGCTTAAAAATCATACACAAACTTTGTAATAAGTTTTGCTTAACCTTTATATAATTCTTGATGCTAGCAAGCATGAAAAACAGGCACCTTCCTATGCTTCATCATCTTGGAATTTGAAGGGATTCAAGATGGTAAACTGCAGTATCACATAAACTTCAAGATTATTTTTAACAGGCTATAATATGTTAAGCTGCACCATATATAACTGCTGGGATTGTATGCTTGATCCTGGTTCCAGCACTGCTTTCCAGGGGCACCCGGCAGCTTTAGACGCCTCTGAAGGCAGGTGCTTGGGTGCTGGTTCTGCTCCATAAGGCTAAGGAGGACAGATCAAAGATTTTAGCAGGAGGTCAGATGGAGTTTGAAAACTTAATCAGATTAAATTTGCTTCAGGACTCACTGCCATAATATTCTGTCCCCATTGAGACAAATGTTTTTCTTCAGCACCTGTCCTCAAATTTTAGACACGAGAGCGCCCAGCAGTTCGTCTGAGGACAGCGATTTGAGGCAGGTCTAGCGGGGTGACACAGCGGCACTTGAGAAGAAAAATACAAGTCAGGACTATGTCCTGAATTTAAAATAAAAAATAGAATTTGGGGGGGCAAGGGGGGAATGGGGGATCTTAAGAGCTATTTTTTCCAGGAGTTGCAGATCTGCTTGCTTACTAGATATCACCATGACAAAGCAGCCTGCTTTTCTATTTGTTTTATTCCTTATCTTTTAACTTATAAAAGTAAGTTAGCAGGAGAGAGCTGTGAGGCCAGCAGAAGGTGGATGCTTGGGAAAAACATTGGGCTTGAATAGCAGCAGTCTTGGGAGAAAAAGGAAAAAGGACAAAAAGAGGTGGCAGACAGCAGGCTGGCATGCAAAATGCCGCCGACCATGTGGGCGCCTTCCTGCATGGGCTGGCGCTCGGGGATATTTTTTGTTCCTTTTTTCCTCCTTTTAGCCGTGAAATCACCCCGATAACCGCGTGTGCTCCCTCCTGCCGAATCCCACGCGCTTTCCCATTCCTCTCCTGTCTTTTCGAAACCCAACGAGAGGGGCGCCGGGGCCTTGGCGGGGAGCGCGGCCGCGCGGCCGGCCTCAGGGCCCCACGGGCCGCCCCTCACCGCCTCTCTTCCTCCCTGTCTTGCAGGCGAGCAGCCGGCTGCGGCACATGGAGAAGGAGCACGGTCAGAAGCTGGCCAAGTCCTCGCAGGTACGGGCCCGGGCGCCGCCGCTTCGGGGACGTCGCCACGAGGGCCGCGGCTCCCGCCCTGCGGCCTCCGTGGGCAGGAGACGTGAGCCTTCCTCAAGTCCCCTGCACAGCATCCCTTGCAGGTTTTAAGCGCTAAAAAAGTACAAAAAGCTCAACTGACTTGAAAAAATGGCTCAGGAAAAGATGGGGATGCCTCATGTGCCGTGCAGTGGCTCTGCCCAGGGGTCAGCCAGCCTCTCCGCAGCCCCAGCAATGGTTTTGAGCACATCAGTGGCCTGAAAAGGGKTTTTGACTGAGTTTTTGCTCTTTAGGGTAGCCTTTTGAACACAGAAGAGGAAAACATGGCTTACATGTGCATGTATGGTTAAAAGTGATAAGACAGGACATTTTTTAAGTGTTTCAGCTTGCATTTTGATTGGCACTTTGCACAGATGGGGAAATGTTGTTAGTGACACAAGGACATGCGAATACAAACTTTACTGGTTTACAAGCACGTGAAATATTTCTAAACTCTTAATTTCAGCTTTGGAGAAATATCTTTGAGTCTTGTTTTCTGTAAAGTTGGCCAAAATCATGCTCTTAATTCAGTGAAATTTTATTGGATATCGAATTTTACATGCTACAGTTTTTTGAGACTGCATTTATCAGGAAGCATTGGTAAATATTCTTTTTGCCCTCTGTCTCTAAAGATTAACACGAGTCTCCTGTGCATTTACTTGCATACAGCGAGGCTGTTGAGTCTCCATCCTTGGAGATATCCAAAGCCATTGAGAAGTTTTGTGAAACAAACGTATTCTTTATCTCGCCCTCTGAATCAGAATAGGAAAAAATTAGTAAAACCCCCAAAGGAACGTTTAATACACGTCAGACCTCGAGGCTGAAACGTTTTCATTGCTAGCTCTATTTTAGTTTTGTCATTGTCATTTTATACTATTTACATGCCAGCTCCGTGTGCCAGGCACAGTTTACTGCTGGAATAAAACTGGGCCTGGGTCTATTTGTTAAAGCCACATGGAGCAACCGAAGCGATTCTGGATTTGTAAACAGCAGGGTGAGGGAAATGGCTCTAATTGTTACAGTGRGGACACCTAGGTAATGCAATACCAGGTGGTAAACATGTAAATTGAATGTTGTAATAAACCTTGTCAGACTGAAATTTATTGGTCAGTGGAGCAGTCTCAAAATGGAAAAAAAATATATATTTTATTTTAAAATAAATATTGTCTAGCTCCTTTACTGCTCTCTTTACTGAGGAGAGATGGGCTAAATAACCCAAACTGGCATTTCTCAGTGCTTTCATGGCAAGCACAACACACACACACCATAACACACCATATGTCTTGTTTTTTTGGCGAATGAAGCCGTTTCACCCCAAAGTCTGAATTTCTTTACTTATGTGGGTTTGAATCAAATCCCTCATGTTATTTGAACRTAGTTTTTTGTAGTGTAGTATTAATAATAGGTCATTTGCAACTTTTCTTGTGGTCGTGCTGCTGACAACGTCAGTCTAATCTTACTTTATGTGGCCTCTTGGAACATTCACTTTTAACACCCACACAGAGAAGATACTTCAAGAAATGTTCTCTGAAGTTTATACAAAGTAAACAGTTTCTTTCCRTGAGTAGTGCTGGACAAAGCAGATCTTTCTCCACCGATGTGTGCTAAAATTTCCTTAAATGTGTTTCAGAGCTTCTGTGCTGTCTTAACTCAGTGAAAGCCATATGTGATATTATTTTTGCTATCTTAAAAAAAAAAAAAAAGTGTTAAAATGGAACATACACAAAGTGGTGGAGTTCAAATTGCCTTCTTATCTTAATGAGTATAATTTATGTGCTCTGTCACTTTCTCCCACCTTCTCACTGCATGTGTTACCATCACTTTACACACTCAGCAAAGCCTAGTTTGTGCAAATTGTCATGTAAAGCATCTAAAGCACAAAGCAGGTCAAACAGCCCAGTTCTGCCTAGAGTTACACCTATCTTATATATATATATATATATATATATGTTGTTTTTTTCCCTAAATAACTGTGGCCTCAGTATGATTGAATTTTTCTCTAGGAGTGAGGAGAGCTGCCAAATATGCAGGTCTGAGCGCTCTGGGAGTCCTCTCTGGACTGCCTGTGTGCTTAAGTGTTTCAGAATTAGACTATATGATTCTGCTACAGCAGCTTAACGTCAAACTTGAATACATATATACATTAAAGTTAGTATGTCTGCCTTCTTACCTACCATTAAGCACATGTTTAAGTGCCTTGCTGGGTGATAACTTACATGTCAGCATAAAATTTTATAAATAGACTTGAGGGATCCGGATAAGTTATGGCATTCCTCAGTGATAAAAAAAAAGGTGAAGAGATTTCAACAAAGCACAAGTGACTCATGTGAAAGGTCTAGTTTAAGGGCACGGGCCGTTGAATCTGGTCCTGGCTGTATTGCYAAGAGAATATCTTCCTTTCAATGGCTCAGAAATTTTCCCATCAAGGTTAACGTTTGAGCTGTGTGTGAAAATTGGAGCTTTCTCTTCTCTGCAGTACCAATGATAGTGTCTTGTGCTAAAAAATGAGTACCTCAACCACTATGTAAATTTGCAGTGGTATTTCACTGCAGTGGAGAACTGGAAGCATCCTGTATTTTGAAGATCACAGATGTGCTTTGTCCTTGTAAGTAAATATTTTGGAATGTTATAGTGGAAACCCCTTCCAAATATTTTGCGTTCAGCACTTTTTGCATCTCTTTGCTCTGTGAGGAATTTCATGCTTGCTAGTGTGTAATATGTTAATTTAAAATATTTAGTTTGCCCGGCAGAGTTTGCCAACTCCGTCCTTGTACCAAGCATAAAAACATGCAAAATACGTGCCACTTACTGAAGAGAGATTTAGCCTGCTGTTTTCTTTTTAGATCATAGCTGAACTTAAGACAACCATTTCCTCTCTGACAGAGGAGAACAGCCGGCAGCAGCTTGTTGCAGAACAGCGGCTCCAGGAAGTTGTACAAAAGTTTGAAGATAAGAAGCAGCAGCTGATTAGAGATAATGACAGAGCAATCAAGGTAATCTGGGGGGCTTAGTCACTGATGCTACTACCTGTTTTAGTGTAATTAAAAGTTCTGCAGCGGGCAGATGGATGCAGGCAGCGCTCGTGTTCGCACAGCCCGGGCGCTGGACCTGGACTTTGATGTCTCCGATGACTCAGGCTGCCTTTCCTCTCATTCATCGTGTGCCTGCTTAAAAAWGTTAGGGCTTTTGGCAAGTCCCAAGCCATTTGCTTCAGTCAAATCTGTGAAAGTTTCTCTTAATATTAACTCGGATATTTTAACAGATGCTCAGCACCTTTATGTAGTTTCTTAGTTAAAAAGGTGAAAAGGAGGAGATGAGTGAGCAGCATCCCGCTGCCTTGGGCTGCCTCTCACAAGGAGAGCTCAGCTTTCATGTTGAAGGCCACAGTGAAGCAAAGGCAGTTCTTAAGTTCCACTGGAAACTCTATTCAAAGACTCTGCTCAATATGCACGGAATACAGCAGTTGTCCTCTGTAGCTTGTTTTCATTATGCTTTTACATATTTTATTATCATAGTTACATTTTCTGGCCTTTTTTTCTTCAAAAGGAAACTTTAAGAAGTGGCTAGTTTTGAATGCATAGAGATTAGGTGCTTCATGCTGCTCTATGTCTTGCACAAAGCTTCCAAGCAGAGTCCCTGCAAGGTTTTAGCAACTCGTGCTGCGAGTGTGTTTTGTAAGACTCGGTCAGCTTGGGAAAGAAATTCCAGGCCATGTTATGCTTGGAGTTCTTGAATGTTGTTTAGTATCGTTAATATTGTGCTTTGCAAAATCTCCCTTTGAACCCACTGAATTAATGGAAATGTGCTGAAAGCCGGGTATCTAAACAGAGAAATCCTAGCAGGGAAAACAGMTGTATTCATTTCTGGAAGCTGAAGGAGGTTTCTAATTGCTGATTGCTTAGTATTTAAGAATCACACATAGTTCTAGGCAGCATGTAGCCTAACTGCTTTGCTCCTTACTAGCCTGGGGCAAAAAAAATTGTTCTTGGTGAAAATGGAATCCTAGATGTCCTGGAGATGGGCAGCAGCCTCCAGGGTGAGGTGAAAGGACCTTGGGAGGTGATTAAAGAAACTTTCGAAAGAGAAAACAATTCTTAATATAAACTTTGGGGAAGGCTTAATATAATGTTAGTCTTGAAAAGACTTGTCAAAAATTACTAAATATAACATTGATTTAAACTAACATTGAGGAACAGATTGCAATTTCCTTTGTATTGCAAGGGGTGACTTCCTGTAAGAGACCTTCYAGTGACTATTTCCTTTCACAAGCAAAGCACATTTTTGCAGAAGCCAACTGACTCTCAGCGATTTGTCGTGTGTAGTCAGTAAAGCAGATGTGGGCACCACAATGCATCATTTTGATATTAATTCAGATTCTTGACTCTCATAGTTACAACTATGAAATAATAGAAGTTTTTATTTATCCCTGTAATGTGGCTTTTTTTTTAATCACATCTTAAGCATTAGTTGAAAAGTAAATATGTGAAACTTGAAGAATGTTCTGTTTCTTATGACAACAACAACAACAAACAGTGCAAGCAGCCCTTTTTGGTTCCAGATGGCCTGCGTTTGGGCCGGTTAGAGAGGAATGCCTGAAGTACTTGGCATTCTGCATTCCACCGGGAATTGTCTGGCCTAAGGCCGAATGGAGGCTTGTGCAGTCAGAGTCGTAGAATCAAGATAAAATTTTTGATCGTCAAATTCCTTTCTTGTGACTTACAAGGTAACCATTTTGATTCCATCACGCTGCAGGGTCTAATAGCAAATATCGTTGAGCAGCTACGTGACCGCTCGCGCTGCCCTTTTGTCTCGGGCGGGACCGTTCTGGCCCTCGGAGCCAGCCCACCCACCCGACCTGCCCCTATGCAGATATCTCTGCTTTGAACTCACCCAGACTTCCACTTTTTGGATTGTGGTATGAGGACATGGTGTGGGGCAAATCGAGCAATGTGCTGAGCCTCTCCTTACGTGTCAGAGATTGGGACTGATTGATTTAGGCTGTAGGATTAGAAGTTGAGAGCACAATTATATTAATGTCCTACAGATGCTTGGAAAAGCTGCTTGAATCTGTTAACCCGTTTGAGATGCTGTGGACTGAGATATTAGAAAGCGTCTTGTGGAAGGGTGTTGGGTGCTGAACGCTTGAGGTGTCTGTGCAGAAGCTCCATTAGTATTSAAGTGTGGTGTAAACCAGGCTAAATTTAACTAACTAAATTTAACTAGCTGTCTGACATCCTGATAACATCTAGCCACAATCACCCAGGGCTCCGCATGATCAAACGGTCAGGGAATTTACCAAGCTTTTCTGATGCTCTTGGGCAGTGGTTACCAAGTCTGGACTCCCATGGCTGGACTCAGCACTAGCATCAAGTTAATTGCATTGCAGAAATAACTTAAGGCTATTTATGAAATCCCAACCTCAGTCTTTTATGAAGTCCTTTAGGTTCCTTGGATTGAAAGTGCTGTAGAGCTGCAAAACATTTGCAGCATTTTAATGTAGAAGTTGATGGTTGAGTGGGGACTCCACATCAAAAAGTAGACTCAGAAAATAAATGGATGATGGAGAGTGACAAACACACAACAGAGATGAGAGAAAATAATGATTTCTTTGTAAAAGGGAACCCTCTTTGTTGTTTTGTTTTGTATTACAKATTCTAGGATTCTGTTATATCCCCACATTAACACCAAAATTTYATTAGCAAGACATGAGTTGAAGATGACAAACTTCAACACTTTGTAAGTCAGTCAGATTATGACCAGATTAATTCTGTTAATAAATGGGACTTAAAAGATTTCTAGGAAAGAATGTCACACAGTAATGTTTCCCTCGGTGACAAAAAATTGGAAACAGTTGTTTTTCTTTGTTATGTTCAAATCCAAAGTGTATTTTTWAAGCCAGAACAGAACAAGGAAGAGCAACTTTTAATTTTGAAGTGGTGTAGACCAATGTAGACAATAGACAATATTCCTAAATATCACATATTTCTTAGATGCTGCCCTATCTTGGAGCAGGAAAGTCATTTTCTCCATATGAAAGTTCGACTGAGGACTTATTTTACTTTTACCAGAAGTAAAATTATTCCGGACCTTGGGCAGTTTAAAACATTTGGAGTCTTTCTTTAATAGCTTTGATAGCTTTGTTTCCAGAAAGTAGTCATCAAAATATACTGGCGTTACTTACAAACCTCTCTAAAATGTAGTCTATCAAAAAAAGTGTGTTTTCAAAATTATGTGAGCCAGCCAATTTTGCTTTCAGTTTTATTATCAACCCTTTTTATTAGCAAGTTCCATTTTTAATTACAAATAATGTTTTTATTAAAAGAAAAATGAGGGCAGAGATATGGAAATATTAGCTGAGTTACTGTCATCCTGCAGAAGTAGCCTGTTGTCCTCAAAACACCCCTGAACTGCCACCAGTGGCCTCTGCAGTAGCTGATGTTATCTTTATTAGTAGACAAATAATGAAAATTTGTTCACATAAAGGCTGTGACCATGTATCACTGATAGCACTGAGGTTGTTGATTAAGCAAAACACCCTGAAATGTAGCCTAAAACCTAAGCCTAGACCTAAAACTTGCTGTAACTAAACGAAGATACATGGTTTTTTTTGTTTTTTTTTCCCCCCCCCAAGGAACTCTACTTCTTTGCTTCTGCCTTAAGTCTATAATAATACTAATAACTCTGTAATATCTCKTATGAGCGGGGAATTACAAGGCACCAACCTATAACATTTTGTGTTCTACCATTGTAAAATAATTGTAGAAATTTACCAGGCAAATCATGCTCTCTTGCTTCCTATGTTCTGTGTGACCAGCAAAGAAAGTTTTGTGTTCCCAAAGGGCGGGTGAATGTCATTTGCAAGGCTTTTAAGCTGTTACTTTCTCTTTTTCCAAATTCTGAAGTACCTATTTTTTTTTCCAAGTCTTTGCTRATATGAATACTTTGCTTATATGAATTCACTCAAATTCAGCGTGTAAGAGAGACTGAGGATTTAGCCCTAAGCTTTTAACTGCTGCTCCTACTGTGTGCTCTCAATTCCATTATAAGGGCATCTTTAAATGACTATGTTGACACAGTCATTATGAATGATAATAAAAATAGACTTGCTTTCATATTAGCATTACTTTGTTAAGCACAATTATTAATTGCAACCAAAATTGGTTATAAAAGTCCTCTCCCCTTTTCAGGATCTTATCTCTTTTTCTGTTGCCACAGAAATTATTTCATTGTGCGCAGCCTCGTACCTTCACTTCCAAATTACAGGGTTTCAGATGTTTAGCCAGTCGGGCAATCGGAGTGGCTGAGCATCTGTAAGTACTTTATAATATCTTTGACATGCTCTGTGAGACAAAGAATTGAGTCATCTTTTTTTTCCTGCAGCAAGCTTTGCACTCTGGCATTTTTCTTGACTTTTCATGTCTCAACACATTGAAGAACTTACCATGGCCAACAGCAAAATCATACTTACAAGTTTTATAAAAGACTAGAACTGGTGCTAGCCTAGGCTCTGAACTGCAAACCAGTTTTATCCAGCARGTTTAAAACTCTGCATTTTTGCTTTTTCCCTCCATTGTCATTGTTGCTCTCAGTGTTTTACTTTCCCTGCAGAAGTCACTCTGCTGCATGACTCTTGGCTTTTTTAGTTTTAGAAGGGGAACCGCGTTACATCTGCTAATTTCAAAATTATAGAATTAAAGATTGCATAAATGCAAAATAAAATATAAAATCTTATGTTGTTAATCCAGCAGTTTCTCCTAATTAGTTTGATTACAGTTACTTTATACTGGAAAACAAAAAGTGACAGAAGAGAATTAAAAGCAAGTCCTTAAGTTCATTACTTTTAACTGACCAAAATAAAATAATAATAGTGAATGGAGCCCTAAGTTATTAGGAGTATATAGAGAAGACTGCCTGCTATTGACTGTTAAATAATACTGACATAAGCCTATGCTGCTAATAAAGGAGGGCAGACAGTGCTTTTAACTGTGATGTA